TGAAAGTATCCAATTTTATTGGTGGGTTGGTTGCGTGTTATCCTTATTTAGAAATTGATTTGGAGATTGCGGATATTTTTGCGGAAAATACATGATTATTATACTTTCCAAGTATATAGGATTTAACTCTAAGAAAAAAAGCCAACTAACTTCATACTCACATAGAAGAAATTTTCCGAGTAGAATACAAAGACTTTCGTAGCTTATTTTTTTGTCATTTTTATTTTTACAAAAATCCTATAGAATAACAAAACAATCATATATAAAACATTAAATAATTATTTAATCTTTAATTGTTTTAAAATGTTAGCATTAAACGGGGAATTTGTGTATGGGCTGAAAAAAAAACAAAGATCATCAAATCACAAGGACGGAAAAGGAAAAAATGGAAAAGGTCGTAGGGCTCAACATAAAAAAAAGAATTCTAAAAAATGGATTCAGCTATCTTTGAAACATATTTTAATGAAAATGAATGACTATTAAATACAGAAGATTTCTATGATGTAAAAATTTGTGTTGGTATGGAGCCAAATATTAAAGAAGTTCATTCACATTCATCAATCATATGTGCTCATTGTCCTTTTTTTCGAAATGCATTAATGAATGCAAAAAAAGAAAATGGTTATTATATTATTGAGAAAGCAAATCTTAATGAATTAGCCCTTAAGACAATACTTAAGTAAGTTTGTTATATTATTGATAATAGTTTAATAATAATTTTTACCATTTGTTTATTTTTTTAATTTAATAATAATAATAATATTATTATTATTTTATATTTAAAAGGTTTTTATATACTTGCAAAATCGAATAAATGGGTTTAATGGAGTAGATGTATTGCAATTATTGATTGCAGCAGATGAACTTGGTCTTGAGTCACTTTATGAACACACAATGAGGTACTTTATTGAAAAATATGAGGATTACATTAAAGAAAATCCAATTAAAATTCTAAGATCAATTTACTCTAATGAAGAAAAATTTAAGGAATTGAAAAATATTTATCTTGAAAAACTTTATGATTACAGTGATAATTTATTTGAGTCAAGTGAATTTGAATTATTGGAAAAACCAATTTTATTGGCTATACTTGAAAAAGATGATTTTTATGTTGAGGAAATAATTATTTGGGAAAGTATTCTTAAATGGGAACTAGCCAAGCATCCAGAAATTAACAATATTAATTATGTTAAAGTTTGGACAAAACAAAATTTTACTGATTTAGGAAATACTTTGAAAGAATTAATTTCTTTAGTTTGATTCCAGGATATTTCTAGCAAGGATTTTTGTTACAAAATTGTTTCATATATGTGGCTTTTCCCTAATGATTTATGGGAGACTCTTTTAGATTATTATTTGGTTTCTGATGAGCAGCAAACTTTAAATTTATTACCATCAAGAAATCAAAAAATTCCAAAAATTAAACCAAGAAATCCAGAACTTGAATCATTAACAATCAATCAAAATCTTACATTGCTTTTTGCAAGTTGGATTGATAAAAAAAATACCCCATATACTTCATTTGAAGAAGTCAAATATGAGTTTAAACTTTTATATCGAAGTAGTAGAGATGGTTTGAATGCAATTACATTCCATCAAAAATGTGATAATGTCAACAGAACTCTTGCAGTTGGAAAAATACTAAATTCAGAACAAATAGTTGGTGGCTACAATCCACTTAATTGGAATGGGGATGAGGATAAAACTACAACTGATAGTTTTATATTTAATATAAATAATAGAAATGATATTAATACTACAAAATTTAGTTATGTTAACAACACTAGTAATGGATATGCAATTAGGTGTCATCCTAGTGGGTTACCTATTTTTGGTAATGGTTCTGATGTTTATTTTAATCCAAAAGGTAATATTCGGAGTAATCCTATAACTTACAACAACATCAATATAGTGAATAATAGTAGATATGGTGAATTAGAGGTTTTTCAAATAATTGATAAAAATTATAAAAATTGAAAATAATCAAAAAATACAAAACATAAAATTATCTTTATTATTATTAGCATAGAAAAGAAATAAGTTGAAATTAGTATGATAGTTCATTTCCATTTTAAAAGGTGATGATAATTCACAACCATTAATAAATAATATTTCTTTTTTTGAAAAAAAAAAAATATCTGAGAAATATTATTAAAAATTAAATGTTTTCAATATAATTCTCTAATAATTCATCATTTTTCATTATTGCCATCATCATCATCAATAACATTATTATTATCCTTCCAAGGTCAGCTGCTATATTATCATTTGTTGAATCTCTCCAGTAGTATAAAATAGGTCCAGGAATAGTTTAAATATAATTAGTCCAATCAATATACTTGAGTAATATTTGACCTTAAAATTTTAAGGTTTTTAATTTTATTTGAAATCTATGTAATGATAAAAAACCCTACCACCCATATTCAGCTTTCTAAATTTATAAATATTATTATTATCATTATTAAAAACACTTGCAGTATTGTATTACAGAAATTCTATTTGTTGAGTTTCTATCCTTTTTAGATATTGATATTTTTATACATTCACCAACATTATTTTTCTTTTTTCTTGTTATTCTTGGTCATCTATTTTTACATATTGTTGGTGTAAACAAAATTTT